ATTGTGCTTTTCCTGAATGAAGGCAGAAGGGGGTTGGACTTGATGCCCTTCGGGGTCTCTTTCAGTTCTAGGATTCAACCCAAATATGTCTTCCAACATCGTCATCATTATCATTATTATCATTATTATTATTATGTAGAGACTGGTTGGCCATCTGTCAGAGGTGCTTTGATTGTGCTTTTCCCAAATGAAGGCAGAAGGGGATAGGAGCAGATGCCCTTTGGGGTCTCTTTCAGTTCTAGGATTCTACCCAAATACATCTCATTATGTGCAATGGAGGTCCTTTCCTATCACCTTGGTGCTTTCCTATCATCTCATTCCTTTCCAAGGACTTCGCTTCTTTCCTAGGACCTCAGTGGCGCAGTGGGTTAAACCCCTGAGCCGGCAGGACTGAAGACCGACAGGTCGCAGGTTCAAATCCGGGGAGAGGCGGATGAGCTCCCTCTGTCAGCTCCAGCTCCCCAAGCGGGGACATGAGAGAAGCCTCCCACAAGGATGATAAAAACATCAAATCATCCAGGCGTCCCCTGGGCAACGTCCTTGCAGACGGCCAATTCCCTCACACCAGAAGCGACTTGCTCCTGACACGACAAAAAAAAAAAAAACACCTCAGTCTTTTCCTAGGACCTCAGTCCTTTCCTAGGACCTCGGTCCTTTCCTATCACCTCAGTCCTTTCCTAGGACCTCGGTCCTTTCCTATCACCTCAGTCTTTTCCTAGGACCTCAGTCTTCTCCCAGGACCTCAGTCCTTTCCTATCACCTCAGTCCTTTCCTAGGACCTCAGTCCTTTCCTGTCACCTCATCTTTTCCCACAACTTCGGTCCTTTCCTATCTCCTCAGTCCTTTTCTAGGACCTCAATTATTTCCTAGGACCTCGGTCCTTTCTTATCACCTCAGTCTTTTCCCAGGACTTCGGTCCTTTCCTATCACCTCAGTCCTTTCCTATAACCTCAGTCTTTTCCCAGGACTTTGGTCCTTTCCTATCACCTCAGTCCTTTTCTAGGACCTCAGTTCTTTCCTAGGACCTCGGTTCTTTCTTATCACCACTGTTGTTTACTATCATCGCTGTCCTTTCCTATCACCTCAGTTCTTTCATATGACCTTGGTCTTTTTCTACCAGCTCAGTCCTTTCCTATCACCTCAGTCTTTTCCCAGGATCTTGGTCCTTTCCTATCACCTCAGTCCTTTCCTATCACCTCAGTCCTTTCCTAGGACCTCGGTCCTTTCCTATCACCTCAGTCCTTTCCTAGGACCTCGGTCCTTTCCTATCACCTCAGTCTTTTCTAGGACTTCAGTCCTTTCCTATCACCTCAGTCCTTTCCTAGGACCTCGGTCCTTTCCTATCACCTCAGTCTTTTCCTAGGACCTCAGTCCTTTTCTAGGACCTCGGTTCTTTCCTATCACCTCAGTCCTTTCCTAAGACCTCGGTCCTTTCCTATCACTTCAGTCCTTTCCTAAGACCTCGGTCCTTTCCTATCACCTCAGTCTTTTCCTAGGACCTCAGTCCTTTCCTAGGACCTCGGTCCTTTCCTATCACCTCAGTCCTTTCCTAGGACCTCGGTCCTTTCCTATCACCTCAGTCTTTTCCTAGGACCTCAGTCCTTTCCTAGGACCTCGGTTCTTTCCTATCACCTCAGTCCTTTCCTAAGACCTCGGTCCTTTCCTATCACTTCAGTCCTTTCCTAGGACCTCGGTCCTTTCCTATCACCTCAGTTCTTTCCTAGGACCTTGGTCTTTTCTTATCACCGCTGTTGTTTCCTATTACCACTGTCCTTTCCTATCACCTCGGTTCTTTCCTATCACCTCAGTCATTTCCTATCACCTCGGTCCTTTCCTATCATATCAATGGTGATGGGATAGTCTCTTTAAATTCAGACTTCATGTTGTTAATCTCTTTGGTGGTATCCTTCTCTATTCGGATAATCTTGTTCTCCCAGTAGATACGCTGGGACTCCAACCAGCAGATCTCAAGGATAGCCTTTTGATGATTTGATGATTTCCTTTTGAAAAGGTTAAAGCTGTGGACATGGAGGGCAGACTGGACCAATGCTCTATTTAGTTTATATTTTTTGTGTGTGATGACAATAACAACAACAACAAGGGCTTGTCTCCCCTTTCTCTGTTAAAAGAATCTCAATGAATCCAGAAGCCACATTCAATGGATTTTGCCTACATTTTGTTAGAAAGCAAAGCCATGGTCGCTGAATCAGAGGCCAGGAGAGAAGAAGAACAACAAAGACAGCAAAGCAATGAAATAAAACCCTTTTAAAAATGTGTAACAGGTTAAATAAAATGAGTTTAATGCAGGGAAAAAATATTATTATGCAAGTGCTGGCTACAGAAGACGAGAGGTTCTTCAAACAAACCGCCGTCCCCTACAATTAAAACATGGGCTCGCAAAACCTGGGGAAAAGGACAGAAGTATAATTCCTAGCTAGCAAAGGTTAAAAAAAGAAGAAGGAAAGAAGGAACATGCTGGAACAAAAGCCAAGTTCCTGCGAAGTGGAGAACGATGGGTCGCCAAAGTGAAGCGGGTGCGTATTGGGGCCTCATGGCTCCAAAACCATAACAAAAGGAAATAATAATCTATCTATACACATAATAAAAGTGAAAATATGAATGGGAGTGTGTGGCTGGGGTGTCCACTTATACTGACAGGCTCCCATTTCCACAAACACCTATGGCTCCGACCACTCAGGAGACACCAATGGCCCTTTCTTCAATGACATTGCAGGTTATAGAGAGCGCCGTAAACATGTAGAGCCCTGCCACTGTCCTCCACAAACACCATGCTGCCCACCACCCAAGTGAAGGCTTTCATATGGGGACAATTTCATCCTAGATTATGTGTTTCCTCTGCCACAGACATCCCAGTGTTCCTTGCTATCTCCATTGGTGTGGCATTTGCATGACCCCACCCACTGCCTCTCCCTTAACCCTTTCCTATTCTTTTCTATGGGACACAGCAAACAGAGGAAATGATCAGCAACTGAACATACTGGGGAGGTTTGGGGAGAATTCACCATGATTTATAGGAGTCGTAGGTACTGGGATGTATAGTTCAACTACAATCTAAAACTACTCTGAATTTCACCAATGATGGACCTGGAACTAACTTGGCACACAGAACCCCATGACCAACAAAAAATACTGGAGGTCTTTGGAGGGATTTATAGGAGTTGCAGTTCACCTACATCCAGCGCATACTATGAACCCAAACAAAGATGGTTCTGGACCAAACTTGGCATGCATACCTGATATGCCCAAATTTGAATACTGGAGGGGTTTTGGGGGGAACTGACCTTGCTTTCTGGGAGTTGTAGTTCACCTGCAACCAGAGAAACTGTGACATCCACTGATGGTAGTTCATCTATAGTTCATTTGTAGTTCATTTGGCACACGGAACCCCCATGACTAACTCAAGCTACTGGAGGGGGTCTGAGGGGACTGACTCACCATGGTGGGAATTGTTCACCCTACAGCCAGAGAGCACAGCGAACCCCACCAATGATGCATCCAGAGCAAACTTGCCCAACATAACAAACTAAGTACTGGTGGAATTTCTCAGGGTTAACCTGGCATGATGTCAGTTGTAGTTCATCTATAACTTTATGCATTTATCTCCCGGGAGGGACTCAGGGTGGTTTGAAAGGAAGAAGGTACAAGTGGGCGTTCCTCACCTCGGAAAGGTTCAGACATTGAAATTAGCACCATGGTGAGGGTCTACAGGGAAAGGAGAGCAGCCCCACCTATTTTAGTAATGGGAAATTAATATAGCATGCTAAATACACAAAGTATATTGGTGTAGTGTTGGCGCTTGTGGGATGACTCTAGGGTTCAAATGGAGACTCGTTGGGGAAGGCCATGGCAAATCCTGTTGGAGCAAGCCTTGCCAAGGAGGGCCGTTAAGACCAAAAAATGGCTCAAAGGCACATCAAAATAATGCAGTACATTGAGTTGAGCAGGCCGTAACCAGAATGCGATCTAGTCAGGGCAGTTTTCCTTTAGAAAGCATTCTTAGGACGTTGAAAGTCTCCTGCAACCGGTGGCAAAGGTTGGAGGGGAAAACGAAAAGTGGAGGAAATCTGGGATATTACAAGGGAAATTCTAGATATTAATAGGACAGATTTAAAGGGATACATTATCCTCTATGGCTTTCCTGTGAAGGACAAAGCTTTAGGATGGGCAAAAACCACCCTGGAAAGCCAGGGTGAACTTGAACTTGCCTACTCGAATTCAATATAGCGGTCACCGCTGGCCGCTTCCCAGTCCGGTCACCGCTGGCCACTTCCCAGTCCGGTCACCACTGGCTGCTCCCCGGTCCTACTCAAGACAAGATGGCAGCCCCCCAGGAATGAACTCAAGTAAAACACACAGCATAATGGACAACCGCTCAGTTTGGAACGTTTGTCCAATGGGAATATATTACAAGGCCACAATTGAGCGAATTCCTTCCAAAACCAACGGGTGCGAAGTGACATCTAGATCCTCTTTCTCCTAGATTTTGTTGTCCTCGCCCAGCTGAAAAAGATTTTAAAAAGCAGCAGCATGGGATAAGACAAAAATATTAAATAAAATAAATTAGTCAAAGGAATGCAGGTCACCTGTTGGCCAAACAGACTTGTTGGGCGGAGGGAGGGCCACATTTTAGGAAGACAAATTGGGGTGTTTTCTTCTTGCAGTTTTAAGCAGGGATTCGGCGGCTGCTACATGAACTCCTTCTGGGTCTTGTAAGTCAACAAACACAGGGCGGCTCTCACTGAGAGTTATGATAAAAGCCCAACCAGTCAACGATTAAACACAAAAGAAGACTGATAGGAAGCACAGAGTGACTTTTTTTTGCAAGCATGTGAGAAAAAAGGAAAGAAAGAAAAATAGAGGGTGGGGGAGACTTATTTTAAGTTCCCCCTACCAACCCACTGCCTCAAACCATCCTTTGCTGGGAACTCGGTCAAGGCGTCCCATCGCTTAGAGTGCTGTGTTGTACACTTCGGTTAATATTTTCTTTCCTTTAACAATCTTTAATCTCTTGTTCGCGCATTACACCCTAACCAGGCTAAAAAGAAAATAAGGGGGGAAAGTGCAGGGTATTTTCTGCAAAGCTGAGAAGAGGGCAAGTCCAACGCAGGCTGCGGGATTGAGGGGAACGGGAAGCAGGGTAGAGGGAGGAGAGTCCGTCCGTCTATCCATCGCAAATGGCTATGGGTCCAAGCGAGCCTTGTCCTCCCAATACGGGCTCAACTGCAGCCATCAAGGAATGGGCACGGCTCTCCCAAAGCTGGCACCCACAGCCAGGGCCCTCCCAGTGCAGCAGAAGGCTTTACAAAAGGAGGTCTCCAATCTTGCTTAAGGTACAAGGGAAGGCGAGTGTGTCTGAACACCTCGGAGGCACTGGGGATGGTGAGAGGTTTGCAGGAGACACAGAGAAGGGAAAAGAAAACCACCAGTTGTCTTAAAGAGGGTGCGAGATATTCCCCTCCCGTAGATGCTTGGAAAAAAAGGTGTCCAGAACAGACGCGGTGCATTTCAGAGGTATGTGGTTGCCGGATTTGAGAAAGGCAAGATTCAAAGAACATCGGTCCCTTTTTTAAAAAAAGAGAAACACTGCCAAGATTATTTGGCGTGTACGAGGTGCTGCCCACCCTGTTCCTACTACTGAGTTTCCCCAAGGGTCCCAAAGATGTGCAGCCCCAAGAAATGGTGGCGTACGCTTCAGATGCGGCAGAAACAGAAGCCCTCTTTTGTGGGGAGACTGAGCACGGCTTCTTCAGAAGCAGGAGACCCTTTGGATATCCAACAGTGGAACAAATTGTACACTTGAGAGAGGATCTCCGTTCAGAGGGGGGACTCCCATTCCCAAGGCCAAGGCAGCTTCTGTGAGACCAGCCCTGCAGTGCAGGAATGAGAAGCAAAGCCAAAGAAGACAGCGGAATCCTCTGCCAGATTCAGTCGGACGCCGCCAGCAATCCCTGCCCCGGATTCCACAAAAACAGGCCTTTACGAAGGATTCCCTTAGGGGTTTGTTTTGTTTGTTGTTTTTGTTTTTTCAGAAGTGCAAGAGTGAGAGAACCGAGGGGAGGGAGCATTGGTCCGTGCTCAGTGTTCGTTGTGGCAGTTGATGTTGCTTTCTGAGCACTCCAAGACAGCCAACATCTCCTCTATGATGGCACGGAGGGCCCGCCCCAGCTGCTCGGCACTGTAAGGCTTCCCCAGCGGGGGCACGTGGACAAAAGCCGACCGGCCATGGCTCTGGTACAAGGAGGTGTAGTATGTGAAGTCACAGAGGTACCTGCAGAAAAGACAGCGGGATGGGAGGGAAATCGGGGTTCAGCAAAGGAAGGAAGGGGTAACAACAAGGAGGATTAGGATGCTTCCGACTGCCAACACTCATGGCTATGCTCCACTTCTCGGTTTCCTAGTGGAGCCCTTCCTTCCTTCCTGTGCCCTTGCTGTCACAAAGCATCCTACGCTTTCCAAGCATGGTTGGGTTGCTTTGCACCACATCTGACTGCTCCTGGCTATGCTCCACTTCCTGGCTTCTTAGAGGGTCCTCCCTTCATTCCGGTCGCTAAGCATCGTACACTTTCCAAGCACGGTTGGGTCACTTTACACCACATATGGCTGCTCCTGGCTATGCTCCTCTTCCTGCCTTCTTTCTTTGTGTCCTTGTCGCTAAGCATCCTATGCTTTACAAGCACAGTTGGGTCGCTTCACACCACGTACAGATGCTCCTGGCTATGCTTCACTTCCTGACTTCTTAGAGGGTCCTTCCTTCATTCTTGTCGCTAAGCATCCTATGCTTTCCAAGCACGGTTGGGTCGCTTTGCACCATGTATGGCTGCTCCTGGCTATGCTCCTCTTCCTGCCTTCTTTCCTTGTGTTTTTGTCACTAAGCATCCTACGCCTTCCAAACATGGTTGGATCACTTTGCATCATGTACGGCTGCTCCTGGCTATGCTCCTCTTTGCCTTCCTAGCGGGGCCCTTCCTTCCTTCCTGTGCCCTTGATGTCACTAAGCATGCTCCGCATCCTTGCTTCCTAGCAGGGTCCTTCCTTCCTTCCTTCCTCTGCCCTTGCCGTCACTAAGCATCCTATGCGTTCCAAGAACAGTTGTGTCGCTTTGCACCATGTACGGCTGCTCCTGGCTATGCTCTGCATCCTGGCTTCCTAGCAGGGTCCTTCCTTCCTTCCTCTGCCCTTGCCGTCACTAAGCATCCTATGCTTTCCAAGCACAGTTCTGTCGCTTTGCACCATGTATGGCTGCTCCTGGCTATGCTCCGCATCCTGGCTTCCTAGCAGGGTCCTTCCTTCCTCTGCCCTTGTTGTCGCTAAGCATCTTATGCTTTCCAAGCACGAGTAGGTCGCTTGCACCACATATGGCTGCTCCTGGCTATGCTCCACTTCCTGGTTTCTTAGCAGGGTCCTTCCTTCAATCCTGTTGATAAGCATGCTACGCCTTTCAAACATGGTTGGGTCAATTTGCATAACGTACGGCTGCTCCTGGCTATGCTCCACTTCCTGCCTTCCCAGCGGGGCCCTTCCTTCCTTCCTGTGCCCTTGATGTCACTAGGCATCCTATGCTTTCTAAGCACAGTTGTGTCACTTTGCACCATGTACGGCTGCTCCTGGCTATGCTTCACATCCTGGCTTCCTAGCGGGGTCCTTCCTTTCTTCCTCTGCCCTTGCTGTTGCTAAGCATCCTAGGCTTTCCAAGCACGATTGGGTCACTTTGCACCATATATAGCTGCTCTTGGCGATGCTCCCCATCCTGGCTTCCTAGCAGGGTCCTTCCTTCCTGTGCCCTTGATGTTGCAATACATCCTATGCTTTCCAAGCACAGTTGGGTCACTTTGCACCATGTACAGCTGCTCCGGGCTATGATCCACTTCCTGGCTTCCTAGCAGGGTCTTTCCTTCTTTCCTCTGCCCTTACTGTCACTAAGCATCCTATGCTTTCAAAGGACGGGTAGGTCGCTTTGCACCATGTACGGCTGCTCCTGGTTATGCTCCATTTCCTGCCTTCCTAATGAGGTCCTTTCTTCATTCCTGTGCCCTTGCCGTCACTAAGTATCCTAGACTTTACGTATGGCTGCTCCATGCTATGCCCCGCTTCCTAGCAGGGTCCTTCCTTCCTTCCTGTGCCTTTGAGGTCACAAATCATCCTTTGCTATCTAAGCATGGGTGGGTCGCTTTGCACCATGTACAGCTGCTCCTGGCTATGCTCCACTTCCTGGAATCCTACTGCGGTCCTTCCTTCCTTCCTGTGCCCTTGCTGTCTAAGCACCCTTTACTTTCCAAGTACGGTTGGATCATTTTACACCACGTACGGCTGCTCCTGGCTATGCTCCACTTCCTGGCTTCCTAGCAGGGTTCTTCCTTAATTCCTGTGTGCTTGCTGTTGCTAAGAATCCTATGCTTTCCAAGTACGAGTGGGTCATCTTGCACCAAATATGGCTGCTCCTGGCTATGCTCCACTTTCTGGTTTCCTAGCGGGCTCCTTTCTTCCTTCCTCCACACTTGCATCCTATGCTTTCTAAGCACAAGTGAGTTGCTTTACACCACTTACGGCTGCCCCTGGCTATGCTCCACTTCCTGGCTTCCTAGTGGGGTCCTTCCTTCATTCCTGCCGCTTAGCATCCCACACTTTCCAAGCACGGTTGGGTTGCTTTGCACAACATACGGCTGCTCCTGGCTATGCTCCACTTCCCAGCTTCCTAGCAGGGTCTTTTCTTCCTTTCTGTGTGCCTGATGTCTCTAAACATGCTATGCTTTCCATGTATGGTTGCATCACTTTGCAAATCAATGTGGTCAAAGGTATTATAATCAAGTTTGGCAAAGAATGGCCAAACAAGCTGGGGAGAGGCTTAGATTGGAGACAAGGAAACTGAGAGGCAATATGTATTATATTATATCTAAAGGGGTGCCATGTGGATTATGGAGACAGCTGGTTTTCTGCTGCTCCGGCGACTAGGACATGAGGCAATGGATTCAAATAGAAAACTGATTCCACCTAATTATTACTATTATTACTACTGCAAGAGCTGTTCAAGAGTGGAATAGATTGCATTGAAGAGTGGCAGATTCGCCATCTTTGGAGGTCTTGAAACAGAGGTTGGATTGGCCTCTTTCGGGAGTGCTTCAATGGCATATTCTTGTGCGACAAAAGAGAGCTGGAGTTCCTTTCCAAGTCTATGATTCTCTACTTTGCATGCAAAATGTTCCATGTCCCAAAGCTCCATATACTTATGCCTCAGAGGGTGGTGAAACCTCCTTCTTCGGAGATCTCTAAACATGGATGGGCATATTTTAGAAGTGCTTTGGCTGTGTCTTCCTGTCAGGCAGAATGGCTCTTGGAAACACCAATGCCATGAACTTCTCTTCCTGTTCCTCCGGATATTTTTTCTTCCTTCCTGCAATGTTCATTTAGCAACCCATTATGAGTAATGAAGACCTTAGCATGGGTCTTGAAAGCAGCTTTCTGTTTGGCCTTTCTTTCTATTACAATTCTTTCTGAGGCATCACCACCTGTCCAGAGTGGTCTTCCTCTCTGCCCTCAACCAACATGAGTGTTCCACCAACACACACCGAGACATATATTCCAAACATGGCTACAATACTAATAATAATAATAATAATAATAATAATAATAATAATAATAACAACAACACTTTATTTGTACCCCGCTACCATTTCCCCAAGGGACTCGGTGCGGCTTACATGAGGCCGAGCCCAAACACAACAATACAGGCAATAATCACAACAATACAAGCAATTAAAATAGAACATAAACAATAAACACATAACATTATCAATAAGACAACATACAATTAAAACTGTGGGAAGGCTACTCACGTAAATGAAAAAGAAGCTCAACTCCCATTCACTCACCTGTTCAGTCTTTCTGAAACACTAGCAATTTGTGTCAGGGATAATGGGATCTGCATTGTATCATCATTGAGGAAACGAGACATATTTTTAATCAAAACCACTCCAGTCCTTTTAAGCCTGACCGGGAGACAGGATATGAATCCTGGACACTTCTGCGGAGGTGCATATCTATCCTCCTCCCTGATCCAAAGCCCTTCTTCTTCCCAGGATGCAATCGTAATCAAAGAGGAACTAAGAGATCTCTGGCCTACCTGCCGGCATCCTTCGATATCGTGACTGCCACATCAAGCCCCAGCGCCGAGACTCGCTTGCACACGGCGTCCATGTCGATGATCGAGTCGATGCACTCAGGGCCCCCTTCCACGCAGCAATGGGAGCCCGGACAGAAGCGGCAGTTGTCCAAGCCACGGTACCCCACGTTGTGGCCACATTTCTCCAGCGTCACAGTGGTGGCCATGCCTGAGAGGCCCACGTGGACTACCAGCTGTGCAGGAAAGACAAGTGATGAGAATTGTGACAATGAGAAACACAAGAGACGGGACTCTCAACAATCAGAAACACAAGAGATGGGACTCACGACAATGAGAAACACAAGAGACAGGACTCGTGACAATGAGAAACACAAGAGACAGGACTTGAGACAATGAGAAACACAAGACATGGGACTCGCAACAATGACAAACACAAGAGACGGAACTCGTGACAATGAGAAACACAAGACATGGGACTCGCGACAATGAGAAACACAAGATACAGAACTCACAACAATCAGAAACACAAGAGATGGGACTTGCGACAATGAGAAACACAAGAGACAGGACTCGTGACAATGAGAAACACAAGAGACGGCACTCGTGACAATGAGAAACACAAGAAACAGGACTTGAGACAATGAGAAACACAAGACATGGGACTCGCAACATTGACAAACACAACAGATGGAACTCCTGACAATATGAACAACAAAAGAGGCAGGACGCGTGACAATGAAAAACACAAGAGATGGGCCTCGCGACGAGAAACACAAGAGACAGGACTCACAATAATGAGAAACACAAGAGATGGCACTCGTGACAACGAGAAACACAAGAGACGGGGCTTGCGACAATGAGAAACACAAGACATGGGACTCGCAACAATGAGAAACACAAGAAACGGAACTCGTGACAATGAGAAACACAAGAGACGGGACTTGTGACAGTGAGAAACACAAGAGACAGAACTCGTGACAATGAGAAACACAAGAGATGGGACTCGCAGCGAGTCAGGCCCGGACCCTGTTTTTCGGGATCACCCCAGGGGGCCCCACTCACTTGTGGGCTGTGCTTCTTCCACAGGGCTGGAATGAGCCTCTGCACTGCCTGGTACTCCACAGGAATTTCATAAACGTGAAGGTCCACATCTTCTCCGAGGCCGATTTTCTCCAGCTCCTGAAAAAGCACAGAGAAGGACAAGGTGAGTAGAGGCAGCCGAGGGAGGAAAAGAAGATACGCCACAGATATGGACTTTCATTTCCCAGCAGGCTTCCCTTGGAACAGACGCCTTATCCAGAACAAGATGGAGGAAATCTATATATATATAAATGCTCTGTGCATAATGAATACCTTAAAAACAAAAGAACCAATGAACGAAATCACACCAAATTTGGCAACAAAACGTCTCACAACACAAGGAGTGAACATCACTCAAATTCTGATTTTGTCATTTGGGAGTTGTAGTTGCTGGGATTTATAGTTCACCTACAATCAAAGAACATTCTGAACTCCATCAACGATGGAATTGAACCAAACTTGGCACACAGAATTCCCATGACCAACAGACAACACTAGAAGGGTTTGGTGGGCATTGACCTTGAGTTTGGGAGTTGTAATTCACCTACATCCAGAGAGCACTGTGGACTCAAACAATGATGGATCTGGACCAAACTTGGCACAAGCTCTCAATACGCCCAAATATGAACACAGATGGAGTATGGGGGAAATAGATCTTGACATTTGGGAGTTGTAGTCATTGGGATTCACAGTTCACTTACAATCAAAGAGCATTCTGAACCCCATGATCGACAGAATCGGAGCAAACTTCCCACACAGAACCCCCATGACCAACAGAAAATACTTAAGGCCATCCAATCCAACTCCCTTCATCAGGGCAAGAAAATGTAATCAAAGTCCTCCTGACAAAGAGTCATCCAGCCATATATTGATAGATAGAGATATAGATAGATAGATAGATATGATTCACACATACACATATATACGAGGGGTATTTTTTAAGTAAGGTCCGTTGGAACATAAGTACACAACGAAAGTTTATTTCAAAAAAGTAAATTTATTTTCAGAAAGTACATACTTCACTCTATTTTTCGACATAGTTGCCAAGTTTGTTCAAACACTTATCATACCTCTGAACCAATTTTAAAATACCCTCTTCATAAAAACTTGCCGCCTGCTCCGATAACCAAGAGTTCACTGCCGTTTTCACGTCGTCACATCCTTGAATTGTCGTACCCACTTATGCACTTTGCTTTCACTCATAACAGTATCACCGTACACTTCACAAATCTGTCGATGAATTTCTGCAGCAGGCAGGTTCCTTGCTGACCAAAACCGTATCACTGAGCGAACCTCACATGCAGCAGGTGAGTTGATAGTCTTAAACATGTTTAAAGCACAGAACAGAACTGTACAGGTTAGCTACAGAGCGGAAACTGAGCACAGTTGTTCCTGAGGCATGCCGGTACACGACGCACGCGCTCGTTGCGGTATGTGCGCGAACTACTAGTGTCTACAACAAAACGGACCTTACTTAAAAAATACCCCTCGTAGTATCATAGATTCGAAAGGGACCCCTAAAGAAGGACAATTATATGTTGCATGTTCCAGGGTGGGAAAACCAGACACTCTCCACATCAACACTGACATAGAAACAACAAGGAATACTGTTTACCCACAAGCATAAAGGAATTACATATATTAGAAACCATTACTTTATTTTCCAGATCACCAGACTGGGCCACAGCAACGCGTGGCAGGGGACGGCTAGTTAGGGATAAAAATAGAGCTGAACCAAAGAAAGCAAAACATTATTTACTCAGAAAAATAGAAGGTAAAGGATAAAGAATGGGGCAAAATCGCCGAAGGCTACCAAGTAACGGTAGCCTTCAGATGGAAAGCTGTAGTCTAGAAGTTTTGAAGCAGAGGCTGGGTGCCATCCATCAAGAGGGCTTTGATTGTATTTTCCTGCCTGGCAGAAAGAGGTTGGCTGGATATCTGGTGGGGGTCTCGTCCAAATCTAGGATTCAGTCCCAATGTTCTTAACTACGGGTTGTTTATAAGTTGGATGTTTGCAACTCAGCCTGTGCAAGAGTTTCACAACCAACACCTGAACACAAGGCCTGTCATTGGGTTCATGTGCCCTCCACGGACCTTGGGAGATCCAACTTGGGACGGAGGCAACCATGCGGCGCTTCGGCCCCCTTCCCAGAGACGCCCCAGTGAGCGTGGTCTGCATTACAGATGGAAATCTCCACCAGAGAAAGACGGCAAGGCCAGCCCTCCTTCATGCTTCCTTGCCTGTCCCGACGTCGCCTGCTGCCTTTTGTAAATCCACAAAGGGAGGTTTTCGCATGGAGAAGCATAGCAGGCGCACAAGGGATGCAGATCCCCATTGGCCCAACACAAGAGAGGGTCGGCAAAGACGCTTGCAAGTTTGCGGATTTGCATCTAGACCAGGGGTCCTCAAACTAAGGCCTGGGGGCCGGATACGGCCCTCCAAGGTCATTTACCCGGCCCTCGCTTAGGGTCAACCTAAGTCTGAAACGACTTGAAAGCCCACAACAACAACAACAATAATCCTATCTCATCAGCCAAAAGCAGGCCCACACTTCCCATTGAAATACTAATAAGTTTATATTTGTTAAAATTGTTCTTCATTTTAATTATTGTATTGTTTTTCAGTGTTTTTTGCACTACAAATAAGATATGTACAGTGTGCATAGGAATTCATTCATGTTTTTTTTCAAATTATAATCCGGCCCTCCAACAGTTAGAGGGACTCTGGCCTGGCCCTCTGTTTAAAAAGTTTGAGGACCCCTGATCTACATTATTGAACAGATGCAGTTTGGCATCGCTTTGACTGCCATTGCTCAGGGATATGATTTGATGTAACTCTTAGTTGACTGTTCCTCAAAGCTATATAACCTTATGACCTTGACGTCATCAGGATTTTCAAGTTAGTAAATGTGGTCACTGGATGCCAAGCAAAACTATAGAACTGTACAAGGTGAAAATCAGCAGTTCATAAAGTGTGCTCCAGGGAGCGTTTGGGGCCCTGTGAAGCATACTAAGGGCCTCTGCGATGGCCCTTTGGGTTTCTACTATTATTATTACTATTATTACTATAACTAGTAATATTAATTAATTATCGCAGTGCTCTCTGGACCATCCTCCAAAAAATCGGGTGCCCTAAGAAATTTGTGAACATCCTGTGGCTCCTCCATGATGACATGACGGCAACCATCTTGGCTCCCAAAGTGACCCATTTAAGGTGGAATCAGGGGTGAAACAGGAATGTGGTATTGCCCCAAATTCCATCTTCATCGCTATGATATTTCATCTTGTTGACGGGAAGCTTCCCACCGGAGTGGAAATTATCCAAGCTATTTGACCTCAGCAGACTGAAAGCCAAAACCAAGTTTACAACAACATCTGTTATAGAACTCCAGTATGCTGATGACAACGTCGTCTGTGCGCATTCAGAAGAAGATCTACAAGCCACTCTAAACACCTTCACAGAAGAATACAATAAGCTCGGCCTGTCATTGAACATTGAAAAAACCAAAGTGCTCTTCCAGCACTCACCAGCCAATCCCTTTCCAATGCCAGAGATACAGCTTAATGGTGTAACATCAGAAAATGTTGACCATTTCTGCTACCTAGGCAGCCACGTCTCCACCAAAGTCAGCATTGACACTGAAATACAACACCGCCTGAGCTCCGCAAGTGCAGCATTTTCCCGAATGAAGCAGGGAGTGTTTGAGGACCGGGACGTCCGTAGGGATACCAAGGTGCTTGTCTATAAAGCTATTGTCCTCCCAACCCTGCTCTATGCCTGCGAAACGTGGACTGTCTACAGATGTCACGTGCGACTCGTGGAACGATTCCATCAGCGCTGCCTCCGGAAAATCCTGCAAATCTTTTGGATAGACAAGCAGAAAAATGTCAGTGTGCTGGAAGAAGCAAAGACCACCAGCATTGAAGCGATAGTCCTCCGCCATCAACTCCACTCAACCGGCCAAGTTGTCCGGATGCCCGACCACCGTCTCCTAAAGCAGTTGCTCTACTCCAAACGGAAAACGGAATGTTGGTGGACAGGAAAAGAGATTTAAAGATGGGCTCAAAGCCAACCTTAAAAACTCTTGCATAGACACTGAGAACTGGGAAGCCCTGGCCCTTGAGCGCTCCAGCTGGAGGTCAGCTGTGACCAGCAGTGCTGCAGAATTTGAAGAGGCACGAATGGAGGGCAAAAGAGAGAAACGTGCCAAGAGGAAGGCACGTCAAGCCAACCTCAACCGGGACCTCCTTCCACCTGGAAACCAATGCCCTCACTGCGGGAGAAGATGCAGATCAAGAATAGGGCTCCACAGTCACCTACGGATCCACTGTCAGTACACTGATCCTAGAAGACTATCCTATTCAGACAACGAGAGATCGCCTAAGTAAGTAAGTTACTATTACTATTACTATTATTATTATTATTATTATTAGCTGTCCCCTGCCACGCGTTGCTGTGGCTCCCATGGGGGTTCTGTATGGGAGGTTTGGCCCATTTCTATCACTGGTGGGCTTCAGAATGCTCTGTGATTGTAGGTGAACTATAAATCCCAGCAACTACAACTCCCAAATATCAAGATTCTATTTTCCCCAAACTCCACCAGTGTTCACATTTGAGCATATTGAGTATTCATGTAGAGTTTGGTCCAGATCCATCATTGTTTGAGTCCACAGTGCTCTCTGGAAGTAGGTGAACTACAACTCCCCAACCAAAGGACACTGCCCACCAACCCCTTCCAGTATTTTCTGTTGGTCATGGGAGAACTGTGTGCCAGATTTGGTTCAATTCCATTGTTGGTGGGTTTCAGAATGCTCTTTGATTGTAGGTGAACTATAAATCTCAGCAACTACAACTCCCAAGTGACAAAATCAAATTTTTTGAGTGAAGGACATACATTGGCCTGAGAGGTGTCTTGTGTCCAAATTTGGTGTCAATTCGTCCAGTGGTTTTTGAGTTCTGTTAATCCCACAAACGAACATTACATTTTTATTTATGTAGATTATTATTATCATTATCATTATTATTACAAAAGCTGGGTGGCCGTCTGTTGGGAGTGCTTTGATTGTGCTTTTCCAGCATGGCAGAAGGGGGTTGGACT